GCTGTGCTCTCGGCGTGCCCGCAGGCCGACCTGGTGGGCTCCATCCTCAGCATGTGCTCGTCCATGGGCGCGCTGGGACTGAGCGAGCCCGAGACGGCGTTGCTGTGTGGCGCGGTGCTGCTCTCCCCGGACCGCACGGGGCTGGCGGACGTCAAGGCCGTGCGCTCCTACCAGGACAAGGTGCTGGACGCGTTGCGGCTGCAGGTCTCCATGACCCGGCCGGGTGAGACATCCCTGGTGGGGCTGCTGCTGCAGCGGCTGAGCGAGCTGCGAGCGCTTAGCGGTCGCCACTGCTCCAGCCTGGACTGGCTGCGCGCGCACTGGACGCTGCTGCGGCTGCCGCCGCTCTTCGCCGAGATCTTCGACATCCCCAAGGCGGAGGAGGACGTGGCATAGGGGACGGGCTCCAGCCGTCTCCTCACACTGGCGCCGGTGTTGGCGTTCACTTAATGATCTCTTGTAATGAGGGGAGACATGATAAGCAAAGCTGTCAAAATTATTGCAGTTGTCTAGGTTGTCGTATTCATCCTGACTGATAATTACGTTATGATAGTGTGCTGCCCACCAGTTCGAGCGTTGCATTCTAAAACCAACGCCCCCGAATCGGTCGGGTAGGAACACAATACACTGACTGCAGGGGTCTTCATCCCCTTCGCCATTCGGAACTCTCCTTTTATATCTAGTCCTTTTGTATTTTCTTCTAAAACCCATCGCATGTCGGTGTATTGACAGTTAGCTTCAGCTGTCCTGTTTGTTGCACAATCACACATAAAATGACGAGAGACAATCGTATTGATGTATGCAATAATTTACAATCGCTATACTTGCACGGTTATGCGTGCTGTGGCATATGACTGAATAACTAATGAGCCATCTTCCATTTTAACAAATGATTTGAGTAAGAAACAACGTGCATGGTCTTAATCGAGACCTTAGCGATATCTGCTGTCACATTTGATATCATGAATTTTAAAGAACAGCAAGCCAAATTGAAAATATTAGGCTACAAAGTTGGAGAGACGAAAATAAAAGATTGTGTCGTAGTTGGAAAAACTAAGCACCTCTACCAGGAGGAAGAACTGCAAACAACTTGAGACTATAAGAACTTGTGCCTTCCACTTTCAAGGAAAGAGTTACCCTGAGTAGCTTGGGGCTTTAATTATCTCAGACCCATACGACTGGACAACGAAGTAACTTGAAGACTTAGTAGCAGCTCATCCTACACAAAATGAAAATGTGCACGATTAATACTGCATAGTAATTTGTCACTTTTGAATGGAGGGTACTTTTTATCCTTTTCACTTTTTCTCTTAAATTTAGTAAAAATATGTATACTATCTTGAAAACTATCTTAGGGCGATTTGTGATCTCTGTCCCCAGGCATGATTGCTACGAAAGCCAGGGTATTTTTAATGCAAATTTGATTTTTCAAACTCTCCACTGCAGTTTTTATCACAACCGAGAAGTGAGATAACATCTGATGAAGTGACCTCTGCTGTAAATAACTAAGAGCCCCTCTTACCTGACTCTTAGAAGTGCCCTAAATTCTACAACAGCTTTCGTAACATTATGCCTCCACTCCTCAGTCAGGAGGTAAAATAATGGTGGCCCGCTTATTTTTAGTTCAATGACAATGGGTTCCCGGTGTTCCTCTGGGAAATGATAACAAAGACAATCGAACGGAGCTATAAAAACCTAAATGTACAAATGACTGTTTGCCTTAATGAAATGGTATTCCCTTACAGGCGTCAGTCTTAGTAACATGCATGATATGATACAGAAAATGTTTTCTTTTTAGAACTACAGATAATTGTTGTCTGCGTCTTCTTTGATCAATACTGATGAAACCTTCAATCTTCGGCAAGTCACGGTAGAGCTATGGAATTTTCTCCAACTGTCAGGATACCTTGTTTGAGTCTTATCACTCTCCTGGAATGTAGGCCTATTTAGAAATGTAGCAGCAAGTAGTTCTCTTCTTTTTATTAATCTAGAAATTGTAGAGAAAATCTCTCTCAATTTGCTATGAGATATCACAGCTCTGGTCTCTTCAAACATATCATTATTGTTAGGTCCTTGAGTTATTGAAATGTTTAGTGGTGTCTGATATCCCTCTTGCAGCTTCAACATAGAAAAATACATATGGTGTACATGACTTAAATAAGATTTTAATGAATCTAGGAGAGAATGGAAGTTGCATTAACGCTGTATATGCGTATAAATTATTACTTACTGTAAATGAATGAAAATTTTATTGGATACAATCATGTGGAACATCATTGTACGTTGTATATATTTAATGGAATCATCATCTATATAGACATGTATATCAACTTTGATCATTATTATTATTATCTAGTCTTATATATTTATGTCCATGACAATTAACAAAATTACATAGTGGCAGTGACCATGTGGGTTGCCAAATCCACAAGTTAATTTGTCAGGTCTTTTCTTGTTATGTTGTTACTCTCTTCTGTCTGCGGCTGTGTAAACTTTATGATAATTTTATAAATAACCCTATGATATAATCAACACTGTATGTGATTCATGATTTTCCATTCACAATGTGTTCAAAGATTTTGAGGTGTACTAGTTGCGCCTCTCTCTTTTGTTGTTTGATGAATGCAAACGATGAACAAGTGTTTTGAAGTTTGATAGCCACCAGAGCAACCAACGAAGTCAATAAATATTTAAACAATAATAAAGAAGTCCAAGGAAGGCTGGAAAAAAATAGAACATCATATTGCTCTTCACAAACTTAGATAACTTTGTTATACGTGATATTGAATATGTTAGCATTACATATCGGTTTTTATTGTTGTAAATGAGTTTTATGTTGTTGTTTCTTCATTGAAAAGTGCAGGTGTTATTATGACTTGTTATGTTTATGTGCTATATAAGTAATAAGTCTAATGTAATAAACTCAATTAATTAATTAATAGATAATCTATTGTGTTCTTTGTTAACTTATTCTTGTTCTATTTTATTGAAATGTTTGTTTTTTCTATTACATTTATTAATTTTTTCAGGTTTGAATATAACTGTAATAGAGATTTCCTCTGATGATGTTTGCTGTTTTGAAAAATGTAAGTATCAGAAAGTGCATACTTAATGTTTTTACTGAGGTTTGCGTAAGCATACTGTGCTTTGAAAAGAACTAGAATGTGCCATTCAGGGCACTTACAAGCACTGCCACTCTTCTAAGAAAATAATCTTTTTAAGCATTCGTGCGTGTAAGAAATTTTGTAGAACAAAAAAGTACAAAGTGCACATTTATTTCCTCATGTTCTTTGTGCATGTCTTAAGTTTGTGTGTGTATGGGTGTGTGTCTGTCTGTGTTTTCTTTTTTCTCTTGAGTACATATACCGTAATGGTTTAAGGGTACATGTACAGTATTTGTAATTCTTCACAGTGTATTAGAGTATTCTTTGGACTTTTTTTTATGGTTCAGTGTGGTCTTGTAGAATGATGTAGAATGTGCATTGTGAAAAGTTACAGCTTGGCTCGAAAACTTTCCATATAGCAAAGAAGCATGACAGACCATAATGTTAAAGATATCAACATAAAACCTGAAACTGTTTGTTGCAAGATGTCCTTTGTGGGTAAAAAATGTGTGAAACACCATACTTTTGAAGATACCTACATGAAACCTGAAACCGTTTGTTGCAAGATGTCCCTTGCTGTTAATTTTGTTATATGTGAACTGTGGAGACCCATGTCATCTCCCTCAATGAATATTAGTCATGATAGAAAAGATTGAAGGAACTGTGAATGTTTTCTAGAGGATAGAGTCATGAGCAACCTGTAGACAACCTAAAATTATCTATCTACTGTTGTATATTGTTAGATTCAATCATTTTTTTACAAAGTAAAATTTATGTTGATGTGAATACAAAGCTTTAGTATGGCAATGTGAAAAAGTCCTACTGTTGTCACATAAAGTACAAAGTCTTAGACAGTGCAGGAGCAGCTTTCACCTTGCTTTGATTACAATTGGATCTTTGTCATATGTTGACTATGAATTCATAAGAAATTAACTTTGTTGCATATTCTGAGGTTTTTTTTCCTTCTTTGCATTGAGTGTTTGTGGAATGGTAGTCTAATTGATATCTCTTTAGGCCAAATTACAAAATATGTGCATAATCTTCTAATGCTCTGTAATACTTGCTCCTATCCCTCTCCCTGCTATAGAAATTGAAAAGTTAAAAATTATCATAAACCTAATATAATACAAGATATACTAAATTTTCCCACTGCTTTAGGGTATTTTCTGAATAATTCTCAATAAATCTATTTTAACAGCTGGCCATTTGGCATCTATAAAAGACTATGTACTATACTTGTAGACTTTATAAGAGTTGATTTTAGAAACATATCATGTACTGTTATTGTTGCAAAAAAACCTTCAATACATAGTTTTTCCCTCCTGTTGTTGGGAGCATGAAATACAACAAAGTGACTGTATATCCTATTCTTTCCCTTATTTTTCTTCTGATATTTTTTGTTTGCTGGTTGTGTGTAGAGATACGTTGTTATTCTTCTTGCATTGTTACGAAGTACTGAGTACGTATAGCTGAGAACACTTTTGCACTCTACCTTACGTAATTAATGTCCTTTCCAGTCATTTTATAAAACAAAAGAAGGCAGCTAATAAATAGGATTGGAATCCACACCTCACATATCTCATGATTTCAAAACAAATATTTGAATGTAGCTTAGGAGAAACGTTTATAAATTGCAAGATAAGTACATGGGATGTAGGTCGATCTTACAGAAGATATTTTGTTTCATTCCAATCATTTGATACTATCCGAGTCCTCGGTGATGGAATGAGTTACGCTGTCTCGATAGGTCCGCCTGAGTGGTAGACAACCCATTTGTAACAATCAGGGGGAAGCAGGGGTGTCTCCTGGAAGCCAGACCTAACGACCTTTCCCCAAGCTGCTGGTGAGATACCGCAAGGTGGCGACTCTTTTTGAAGGAAAGAAAAGACAAGTTGATGAGCAAGAGAACTTAACAATTTTATTCAGTTGATCTAGAGGTTCCTGAAACATTTCATTTGAGCTATTCCTTGATGCCATAAACTCAACGTAACTCAAGATACCCAATGTAATGATTCTGTTGATCTTTAATTAGTGGATACTCAAAGAAACAAACCAAATTACACCATATATAAAGAACAAAGATTATTTCATAAGGTTGAGTTAGTCCACATCAGTATTACAAAAAAAAGGGAGAAAAATCAATCCAATATATTGCCTTGATACGGCCACACTTATGAAAGTAAACATATCTAATGATATTAAAGCTTGTACCTTATCCTTATGCCCCCAGTCAAAAACTTTCTTGCTTTCTTGAAATAAATAATACAGAACATGTAAAAAGTTAACATAACAAACAATTCATCTTTGAAAAAGTGTTGACATTTTTTACAGACCACAGCATTACAATAAATTAGATTTGAGAACATTGTCCCACATAGCTGATAATTCTTCTGCTTCTCATCCAAAACTCCAAGCACTTAAGCCCATCTTAGTTTGAGAAGAACAACAGTATTCCGAGATAGGCATTGAACTTCGGGTACTTGCATGATATTTGGTCACATGGAAGCCAAGTTATAGAAAATTCGAGAAAGAGGGTAAGGGGATTCAAATTAAGGTGGTATGAGACTGACAGAATACTGAAATGTTTCCCACATCATTGTTAAAATCATGGGTGTGAAAATCGGCCTAATGTTTACCGGTTTCATAACATACAAATTCAATGTATCATAGCCATGGCACATCTTTAAATGTTGAACAGTGGGAAAAATAAAGATCAACCATTTTTGTTGCTCTTAACATTGACCATAGCATTGAACATAGCTATTATGAATACTGCTTTCATTTGTGGCACTTTGCGTAATTAACATATAAGGTACATCTCTCATGTCCAAGGTGCAACATTACAAAAATACTGACTACCAAACATACAACAAAGAATCTTTATTTACATCCTGGAAGCATTTTAATAAGGGGTTCATAGAAAAACATGAGCGGGTTGGTGGAAAAGATTGACACAAAATCATAAGCAATTTTAAAATCATGAAAGAAAATCTTTTAAAGCCAACAAAAAAGACGACTTTCCAGGAAATAAAATAAACATCTGCAAATCAGAACTTTAAATACATGTAGACCAAAATTTGAAATGGAGAAAAAAGTGTGCTGGGCCATATATTATAGTTGTAGACATACAGTATACCACAAGCGCAACACTTTCTAGGGAAACAATGACAGTATAATTAGAAGTGCCAAGTGGATCAGTCAAACTTCAAGTTACACTATAATCACCAAAAGAAATAATTTCAAATTAAAAAAATACAAGCAAATATCACAATTGGCTTTTATATTACCATCAATTAAGATGGATATTGCAGAGATTTTATCAATCCTAAAAATTCATGAACTAAAGTAATCTAAAAAACAGAAATATAAGCATTTGAGAGTGAATATAAAATTGGTGCTGCTCAAGAATTCTCTCAGATGAGAATATTCATGAACTAAATGAATTGATGGCCACTTTGATTGCACATCACATTTTGATATTACAAGAGCGATCACAGGAGTCATTTCCTTAAATGGGAAAGGTACCTTAATATACTGTTCATCATAAGTTAGTTTTAAAAAATACTTAGCATAAGACTGCACCTCACACTTGCAGTAATGACGTTTGAGATAACAATAAACTTCACACTGACAGAAGTACTTACAACCCTTAGCTCTTTAAATCTGGCTTCTAATACCCAATCAACATCAACATTAAGCACAAACTAATCTTTGGAGCAATATTACATAGCAAACATGTTAAACTGTATCTGAATGAAGCATTACTCGGACTTAAAGGAATGCAGTCAAACAAAATGCATTGAATTTATGAGTGAAAAATATTACATTGATAACAAGACGCTATAAATATGCTATTGATTTACATCATTGATTACATCAAAACATGATGGTCATTACTCGAACAAGAACACATCTTCTTGCTATAGATCATTCTTCAATAACTGAAAAAGTTATAACAAGCAACAATACTCATAAATTACAGTAAAAATTATAACAAAGATACAATTAATTCATTTGAGGTTTAAACAAAATGAATGAACTACAGCATAACTAACAAACATTGCAACCCTTTCAGTAATAAAAATAGAAAAAAAGAGTTCAATACATAAGGTGGATTAGGCACAAGATATGCAAGTCCTTTGAAGTATTCCTGTACGATGACAACAGAAACGTTTACTCATGTCATGTAGCTAGGCTCTACACACCCCTTTAACAACATTTTTCAGGATTTGTGCAAATACACTTTAACAGCCAATTAACTAACTTTTATCAATTTCAAAACTTTGATTCATCAACATGAGTTAAAAGCATCAAATTTATCAAAAAAAAAAGTGCAGTAAAAGTGCCAGAACAATGACAAGATTTGTCGGTAGCAAATCCAAATGATCATAAAGAAAAAACACATAAAATAGAAATAACAGCCGTGGGCATAAAATTTATAAAAAAACACAACTCTTTCACAGTTGAAAGAGAACCATGTTCCAGCAATTGAAGAACATGTGTTGAATTTAAGAGGATTGATATTTAAAAACAGTGAATAAAAATGTTATGATCAAAGATGAAATCGACAGGAATAGAAAAGAACAATGCTATAGTTTTCACAGCATTTGGGTTCATTTCAAAGAAAGTGCTCCACTGCTTAAAATGCAATTATCACTTTATATATTAGAAGTTCCAGAGCTGAGAAACACTCAATCACTGTTTGTAGGTATTAGGTAATTTTTTGGGCGAGACACTCAATGACGTTTCTTTCTCTTGCTCCTCCTCATCAAAATACATGTGAGTGATAACTACATCACCTGTTGACATTGTTTGACAAGCAGCATCACAGGCACTGCCAGCAGGGCTTGGTGAAGGTTTGATTGAAATTGTTCCTATTGGCCCAAATTCAACACGGGATGATATGTTGAGATTCCCAGCAATATTGTTCTTAGCATGGCACTTGCAATTGCAACATCTGCAAAGACATAAATTGAAAATATTAAAG